CGTTTGATACAGTGGATCATTTAAAATCTTATGTAATAAATAAGACATTATAGGAATCGAAAATCAATGGTTTATTTAAGTCATGTCTTACGGGCAGGTCTCAGGTGGTGGGTTGCGGAAGTGTTGTATCTAAGACAAAGGAAATTTCTTGTGGGTTTCCCCAGGGAGTATTTTAGGCCTTCTATTGTTTTTGCTATGTTAATGATATGTTCATTAGTAGAGATACAGACTACAACTCGTTCTTAACTTGCAATTCTGGTCAGTGTAAGCAGCAACTGGATGTACAGATGAATTCACATACACATCAAAATGTTGCAATGCTAATAACATGGACAAATACTCTTTTTCTACAGTTGAATTTTTTTTTTGACATTTGGAAAACTTTTTGTAGCAAAACTGCCCCACAACCTACATCATTAGCTTCAATTTTCAACAAACATTCTTTATCAAAGTCTGGTGATGAAAGAACTGGAGAGACCATGAGAATTGTTTCGATTTGTTGGAAAGCCTGTTGATACTGTCACATTAAAACATTGAGATAGTATGTCTATACCTTAAAGGCCGAGGTTTTCAACCGTACAATTTTCCTCAGGTAAGTTTGGTGTGGGGTGGAGCTTAATCGAAGCGGCTGAGAAGCCCCGAGGGAAGATAGGACAAGAGACTTAACCTGTTGATAGATATTACAGTGAAAATTCCAATTGATTGTTTGTTTGTTTTTTAAATGAACTTAACTAGTCAATAAATCAAGTAATCAGGCTAGAGTGGGAAAGTCTACAACAACGCAGAATTAAAGCAAAGGCTTGTATGATGTTCCGTGTTGTCCACTCCTTTGTTACCATAGACCTAGGTCTGCCTCCCCAATTCAGCCAAACAGGAGCAGCACAAGAGGTCACCAACACCGGTACAGGATCCCATTCTGCCGTCCCAACGTCTACAAGGAATCGTTCTTTCCTACTACCATCAGGATATGGTACCAGCTGCCAGGAGACACCATCACGGCTACGTCCCTGAAGTCCTGCAAGACCAGGATCCGGTGATACAAAGCACCATGCATGCATAAACCAAGCAGGACATTCATGTTTTTATCAGTTTTTAAAATTGTAAATAGACGCATGACTCCCCCTCACGTACACGTTTTAACCATAGTGAATTGAAATGAACATATTTTATTGACAATTAAAATAAAGAACAATTATTTTCAGTAACAATATAGTGTCAAAGACAGCAGATACCAGAACACAATTCTATATATTTAAAAAATTAGATTTTTCAGAGAATCGACCACACTCTTTTAAAAAGGTATGAATAACTTTAAAAATGTCTATATTTTGATGATCAGAAAATAAATCAACACCCCAAAAACAGCAAATGGACATCTATAATGTACAAATTGTTGAATGATAATAAATTATTCATTAGAGAATATCTTGCTGTTGCATATTTTCTACAAACAAAAAAAAACAAATGATAAGAATCCTCTATTTGTCTACTAGCTGCAGATCTGTAGCTATCCAGAAAAAGATATATTGATAGTACGGTTAGTAATGCTATGAGATTTCAGTTTTAGGAACATTTAGAAATAAATCGAAAACAGAGCGCACTTTTTTGTGCACAATAAATATAAAGTTTTTTTTCAATAGCTAGGTGGCACTGTAAATAGCTATCCGGTCTATCAATATATATTTTTTTCGGATAGCTACGTATACAGATCTGCAGCTATTTGTCTACATGGGCAATCCGGACTGTCTATCAAATTACAGCGAAATATGCATTCCACTTTCTAACAGTATCTGTAATAAAGGATTTATTGAATTATCTCACCATAGTGAGAGAATGTCACAGCAGCGACCCTTCACTTTATAGGAAGAAGAAGAGGAATAAACTCATTTTTCTAAAATCATTTATAATTATATATTTAATTAAATTAACTAATGAATCAATTTGTTAATTTATTTAATTTTTAAGGTATTTGTTTTGGTTTGTTTTCCTTCTGTGTTTACATGGTTTATTTAAATTTGAAATTCAGTATTAATTTATTATTATTTTCCAGTTACTTAGTTTTTTGTTGTATTTTTTTTTTGTTCTGATTTTTAAGGGGGGTGTTTGTATGTTTGTTTTGGTTTTTTAATGCATGTAAAAGAAAAAAATATATACTCTTTGATATTAAAAAGCAATCGTTTTACGAAACGAAATAATCAGAATCCAGGTCTATGAAAATAAAAAAAGTTTCATAAACATTAATAAAATGTGCATGTTGCATATGCGAATCCTGTGTAAAGTTGGTATTGTGAGAATATTGTTAGAATATTATTTACACATTAGCTAGCTCGGTTGATATGTACTGGGATAGAGAGGCACCCCTGTGTGTGTACATGCACTTTATACACAGCTTGACACTTGGTCAAGTTGATAATAAACATGCACCTTTTGTTTAAACACCTGTTCTCAGCTAATCTGACCAACCTCCTTTTGGCAGGGCATGTGTATCATAGGCGTAGTCAAAGGGGACAGCGGTGGCACTACCCCCCCTCCTCCCCATTTTCAGACCTGAAAGGGGGGGGGGGGGAGCAAGAGTATGTTTGTGCCCCCCCCCCCCACTTAATGTAGAACAAAATCACAGATGTGTTGAAATAAAATAAACCTCATTTTATTGCAAATTTACTAAATAAGTATTTCTCGTGAAGTATTAGATGTATAATATAGTAATGTAATATAGTAATTAAATCTGTCAAGACCTCTTGTGTTCCCCAGTTTCGGATAGGGAGTGTGGGTCATAAAAAGTTTAGACGTTTTCTGTTTCACTGAGCATCTGTTATCTAACCAAATTAAATGAGAATCGTAAGCTGCGCCGTCTCGTGTGTTGACAATTAACTGAAAGTTATTTATTTAGTTCCTGAATCCCATTTCCTGTTTAACACATACATGTAGTCACAAAGTATACGTTTTGGCAAACCTCCGGATTTTTTAAAATTATTTAATATTGCTCATAGGCGTCGGAACCGGGGGTATAGGTGGGACTGACCCCCTCCCCCTGCCAATAGGATTTTCGTTTTGGAATTTTTTTTTTTTTTTTTTTTTTTTTTTTTTTGCTTGTCAAGGAATTTTTGGAGTTCTGCCCCTTTTTTTAAGTTTGTGACTACGCCTCTGTGTATATATACATTGAACCTTTACTATGCTCAATTGTTCTTGACTTGCATTTATTTCATATTGTAAAATTAATGATTTTGTAACTTATTTTTTTTTTTAAGAACTGTTAATACACCTATATGCGTTTCAAATTTTCTATTTTAGCACGTTAGCACACACTTAAGGAAAACATGAATTTTGATAATTCTTGATAAATTAATAAAGACCTTATAAGTTACTTATACCTTTTAATATTTACAGTTTTTTTATGTTCCAAGCTGGGGGGGGGGGGGCTCTTAATTGTAGAGCCATGATTTGAATTTTGAAACAGAAAAATATATTAAAGCCAAAAGACCGAAAAAAGCTTTAAAAAGATTTAAAGATCATAATTTCTTATATTTTAAATCATTTTTGTTTTTATAAAAATTTATGAAATAAAATTATAGTTAAATTCATTTAAAAAAACAAGCATTTTCACTTTAAATGTCTTAATATCATCAGGTTGAATATTTCATACTTCATTTATATTCTTAAGTTTCCTTACAGATAATTTAAAAAAAAATAAAAATCATATATATAATATTATTCACTGTTGAACAAGATTATGGTAATGATTTCCACGGATTACTCGAAACCCTCACCGTATTTTAGTCAGATAACCAAACAATGGAATTACATGTTTTGGCTATAAAATTTTACGTATATCAGTATCATTCAAATAAACTCATCTTATAGGCCTTGCTGTACCCCAGTCCATTCATTCTAATAGGGTTTCTACCACTTTATTGGGGTTTCACCCCTTCTGCTAATTGGGTATTCTCCAAAATAAACGACTGACATACTTATATACAGGTCTGGTACAATCACTTTTAGTCTCTTTTTAATACAAAGAAAATTTACCTAAAATTTACCTAAAAATATTTCTATTAAAAAGTATTTTTCTCTGTGCAGGATGCAGTGATCATTTTCAACTTTGAACTCATCCTAAAACAACTCATGAAAAAATCCCTCTAAAAGAGTCTTTTTCTGTAATTGCAATAAATCTGAAAGTTTTGGGGCTTGTACAGTTAGAACAGTTACTCCTTGATATATACAAAGAAGTCCAGTTCTGGTTAACATGATAATAGGTCGGTAATTATTCAGCACCTTTAGCGAGATCATCTGGCTAAAGCGCGATTATCCCTCTGTAGCGGGTGAAAATACATCTCGGAAAACCGAGATTTGTACTCGGATTCAAACTGTAATCATGTCAACTTCTGAAAAAGGAAAATGTTAACCCATTCGATATATTTATTGTCTCATCTCAATAGATTTGCTTCAAAATATTGCCTCTACTGCTGCAAACCATAGAAATAAGAATAAGTTTATGAACAATAGCGTAGCCTCCTACGGAGGACCACAAGTGATAATTATCAGTACAACTAAACTTACTTCGGTTATACGGTTATTGTCATTGCATGTTTACCTTTTTTTTATACGCCTGCTTGAAAAGCAGGAGTATATACAGCATGATATAGTGATGGGGTGTCCGTCACTTTGGACTTTCCATAGGGCATGGCGATCTCGACACGAAGTCTGTTTGGTGACCTATAAATTCCAAATCGCATGCTTATGCAGGATCCCCACATATATATTTCCAACGCAATTTAAAGTGTCCTCAAACGAAAAACTGTTCATTGCCATCGGTAAAAACATTAAGAATTTATGTAATTAAAATACAAATACCTATAGGAAATACTTCTTTAAATTATAATTAACAACATGTAAGTAGCAGCAATTTCAACAATGCAATTTCGCATTTTTTATTTCTCTAATTTCGTATAGGTTATTCAAATTATTCAAGGTAACATGTTTACACTTTCAACAGGCACGTTTCTGTGTTAATGAAAAGATTGGTAAGTGGTAACTAAAAAAAAGTTCGAAGCTATACCACCCCACCCCCCTTCTACCTGCACGAAATAGCATTTTCAGGTTAGGACAATGGTCAAATTTTCCTCTTTTTTGGCATGTCAAGCTTTTTTCAGGTTGAATTTTTCTCTTTGAATTAGCCACCCCCCTTTTTCCAATTTGCTTCCAATGTCGTTGAATCATGCTTTCCTGAGTTTACAAGTTTACCATGCATCAACATTTGTACGAGGTCAAGATCGGTTAGACTCAGTATAAACTTTTTTTTTATTAATTTCTTTTCAATACTCCATTAAATTAATGGTTTATATTCTTATATCTCAGTTTATACTTGTTTTTATGCCCCCCTTCTAAGAAGGGAGGGCATATTGCTTTGCTGCTGTCTGTCGGTCGGTCGGTCTGTCGGTCCATTTAGTTTCCGCTCATTTTCTTCATAACCGTTGCACATACTGAAATGAAATTTGGTATACAAGTATATCACATGAATATCTAGGTCAAGTTCTGTTTCGGGTATGGTCGCACCATAATTGACAGATTTATGCCCCTTGGACTTAAAAAAATTCCAATTGTTTGCAGTTTCCGCTCATTTTCTTTGGAGAGGTTGCACATATTGAAATGGAATTTAGTATACAGATTAGTCAGAAGAATATCTAGGTCAAGTTTTGTTTGGGTACGATCGCACCATAATTGACAGAGTTATGCCCCTTGGACTTAGAAAAATTCCATATTTTTGCACTTTCCATTCATTTTCTTTGGAGAGGTTGCACATATTGAAATGGAATTTAGTATACAGATTAGTCAGATGAATATCTTGGTCAAGGTCTGTTTTGGGTATGATCACACCATTTTTAGACGGGGTCACCTGACCCCGTCTCTTAGTTTACTCTCAGACTCAGAGGCTAAAAATAGAAAAAGGAAGCTGCAGTGATAACACATGAATTAAATCTATGCATACGAAAGAGTGCAACAATTGTTTCGATCAAAACATAAACATTTTGTATCAAACTGAAGAAATTGTTGTGAACCTTTCTCTAACTCAACTAATAAAGTATTTTGATAATTTAAAACAAAAAATATTAACTGTAAATAACACTAGTTGACAAAGTACTATCCTGCGTATTATTATGACTGTGTACGCATCATCCATTGTTTACTTCCGGAAAATTTATTAGTTCGTACCTGATGAAATTCAAAGAAGTTCAGAAAGGTTTCCAAACTGAGCAATTATCAAAATTTCTCTTCAAATCAACTTAAATGAAAAATGTGAATGTATATTTTTCATAGTTTTGTTTTTAGAATGTTAATGAAAAAATAAAAGTTGTTTTAAAACTCGTTAAAAAAATCACATTTGTGAAATCTAGCATGAAGATTATTTTGACCCCGTCTTTCAGTACTGTCTCAGTACTTTGATTGACAGAGTTATGCCCCTTGGACTTAGAAAAATTCCATATTTTTGCACTTTCCATTCATTTGCTTTGCAGAAGTTGCACACAATGAAATGGAATTTAGTATACAGATTAGTCAGATGAATATCTTGGTCAAGTTCTGTTTTGGGTATGATCGTATGATCACACCATTTTTGACAGAGTTATGCCCTTTTGGACTTAGAAAAATTCCAATTTATGGGGGAGGGGGGCATAAGTGTTTTACAAACATCTGTTGTTTAATCATGACTTTTTAACAAACTTTACAACCCTGTTGCGCTTCCGTTCTTCTTTGCGTCAACCAAAGATCAAATTTTTAAGCAAATATCATGGGTTTTTAAAGAACATTACTTTTAACTCTTGTACAAGAATGGAAAGCTAAAACCCTAACGAATATAATTTGGATATATATACATATTTTATATGCTTCAAAAACATATATGACTGTAAAACGTTAGGATCATTATATGAAAGTTTTGGACCCGTGAAAATTCGTTTGGTCCTGTGAAAATATGTTAACTGTTTGTCAGAGTGTCCTGTGGCGATTTTTCTTTTTCACACAGACTGAATATCTTGATATCTTCAGTGTTTTTTTCTTTCTTTTTTGACAAAATACTTGGTACTTAAAAAATTATAATATGGATACATGTATAAGTATATATTTATTAAAAGGTTCTACAAGGTGTTTTATATAGAAATTCTTGAAAAAATGTGCTGCTATTTGATAGACATAGGACTGTAATTTCTATAGTTTTTAGTGATGGGACATCGGTTCATTTTCATAATCGATCATCGGTTGGAATCGGTTACTGTTTCCGATGCGATTTTACCGATTATAATCGGATGTCATATTTTGGTATATAAAAGCAGACTATTACAATTATTTCATATTATTTCTTTAACATGAATATATGATTTATTATTTCCTTTGTTGTTTTGCTTATTTTTCTTTCTTTTTTGACAAAATACTTGGTACTTAAAAAATTATAATATGGATACATGTATAAGTATATATTTATTAAAAGGTTCTACAAGGTGTTTTAAATAGAAATTCTTGAAAAAATGTGCTGCTATTTGATACACATAGGACTGTAATTTCTATAGTTTTTAGTGATGGGACATCGGTTCATTTTCATGATCGATCATCGGTTGGAATCGGTTACTGTTTCCGATGCGATTTTACTGATTATAATCGGATGTCATATTTTGGTATATAAAAGCAGACTATTACAATTATTTCATATTATTTCTTTAACATGAATATATGATTTATTATTTCCTTTGTTGTTTTGCTTATTTTATTACACTTTCTATATACATGCACGGTTTAAACTTATAACTAAAATTTCCACTAGGCACATGGGCTCCTTAAGTTTCAAATTTAGGAGCCCACAGCTAAATATGTTAAGATATAAAATACATTTGTTTAAAATGAAAATTGAAGTTCTTAATTTGTTAAATCAAATTTCGCATAAATATTTCATCATAGGAAATGAGATTAAATTCAATTAACAATTGTTCTATTCTATTTCGCAAGGGTATATAGATAATCCCTTTTTCCTGGTCATTGGACTATATACTTATAGTAGCCTACTGATGACATTTTGGTTGAATATTTTTAAAACGTATCTGAAATTAGTCACCTAATAACACTTCCATTTCATATGACTGAGTAATTGGAAATATTTTAAATGGACATCTCCCATGAAAAAACGATAGACAGAGAAATGGAGGAAATTCGGATTAGAAAAAAAGACGATCGTTTTCAAGATTTCACAAAGCATGTAGTACTGGTAAATGTATTAAATGAAGGTTATTTACGAATTATAGGAAGATGTTTCTTTTATTTATTTTATTGATTGGAATTTTAAAGCAAAAAACATGTGGAAAACGTCTGTTTTCAGTTAGGGGACTGGAATGGTCCTGCAGCTCTTTAATTCGCCACGTGGGCTAACAAGTCATAAGTTTTATGAGCCTACAGCAAAATTTACTCTCTGTTACTAAGAACCTCTGCTTTATGCTAGTAGGCTAGTATCAGAGGCAGACACCATTATCTTTCATTAAGAAGAAATAAATTTTACACTAGAAATGAATAATTCTGGAAAGTACTTTATTAGAAGTATGTTTCCGATGATCGATTATGAAAAATTATAATCGATCATCGGAATCGATAGCATTTTTTCATTGACAATCGATGTTTTCTGATTATCGGTACAACACTAATAGTTTTTGTACAAAACATTAAAAAAAATAGATCATAGAAAGGTATAATATTAATAAAAGGTTCCTATAAAAATACGCTACTAAAATATTGAGTGCAAGGACATGCATGCATGAGTGCCTTAGTATTTCTAATAGTTAATATTCATGTTGCTGAATGATAAATTTAACATTCTAGTACACTTTCAGGGAAATTCTTTGAAATCTAAATTAAATAGAACTGTTCTTTTATAATATGGCATTGAGACAATGTTCCTAAAGCATGCATGTGTACTCAATTTGACATATTTCATTTGCTTATGCTTTTGGTGCTGGAACCCAAAATAAGTAGGGGGTATTTTGAGTAACATCTGTTAAAATTAAAACTAGTACCGTAATTAAAGGCTCAAGTGAGCTTTTTTGCCACACTAGCATGAAATTAGCATATGTATAATTTATTGTTCAATTTTGTAGCTAAAAAATGGAATGTAAGGTGCAAATGCCATCACAAAAGAGACTTAAGAAAAGGAGAGCAAAAAAACTTGCTGAGGATGAGCAAACAACTTCAGTAAGAAAAAATTTTGAATTTTAACTACCATAACAAAGTCACTGTATTGGGCTTATATATCATATATATCCTTTGTAGCTCACCCAAGGTGAAAGTTCAGGATTTGTATGAATTGATATTTTAAGAATTTTTAGCTCACCTGAGCCGAAGGCTCAAGTAAGCATTTCTGATCTCATTTTGTCCGGTGTCCCTCTGTCCATCTATTGTCTGTCTGTCCATCTGTCTGTAAACTTTTCACATTTTCGACTTCCTCTCAAGAATTTCAACCAAACTTGGCACGAAGTATTCTTGGGTGAAGGGGATTCAAATTTGTTCAAATGAAGGGCCACGCCCTCATTCAAGGGGAGATAATTGGGAATTAATGAAAATTTGGTGGCATGTTTAAAAAATCTTCTTCTCAAGAACCACGGTGCCAGGAAAGATGAAACTTATGTGGAAGCATCCTCAGGTAGTGTAAATTCAAGTTTGTTCAAATCATGACCCCCAGGGGTAGGGCAGGGCCAAAGTGGCAGACCAATGTTTAACATTTAAATATATAGGACAATTCTTTAAAAATCTTCTTCTCAAGAATAGCAAAACCATACTTGATCATATTTATATACATGTAGAAGCATCCTTAGGTAGTGTAGATTCATTTGTTCAAATCATGACCCCCAGGGGTAGGGCGGGGCCACAATAGCCAACCAAAGTTTTACATAGAGATATATAGAAAAAATCTTCTTCTCAAGAATAGCAAAGCTTTTGGATTTTAGATTTTCATTAATAAACCAAATCTACTTTTTCCTAGCCACAGTGCTCAGGTGAGCGATGTGACCCATGGGCCTCTTGTTTTAAGTATATGCTTAAATTTCTCAAGAATATTCTTAGCTGAGAAACATGCTTAATTTCTTTTGCATAAAAATTCTATGCAACATGCTTAGCAATTCTTAGCTAAGAACATCACAATCTGCTTAAGTACAATGTTGCCATGTAAATAAATCCACTTATACTTTAACTTAAATGTAGACAAACACGTCATGATGCAGATCAAAGCAAAGAAATAATATAATATGAAAAAATTGATTCATATTTATTAAAAGATTCGCATTCCTGTTGTTACTTTTATACGTCCGACTTAGGACGGAACATATAATGTTATAGGCTTCATGTCTGTCCGTCCATCTGTCTGTTAGATTTTCTCTTGGAATCTTTATTGTTCTTTGACTTTTGAATGAATAGAAAATTCTTTAAAATTCTTTTTCAGGAAGTCCCAAAGTTACTTGAGTGAACATTGTGACCCATATATATGGGTCACAATATACTAGCAGGCCTTTTATGAAGAAATATTTACATTTCCAATGTCTTTGTCCAAGATAAAATTACCAATTGTAAATGTAATTGATTTCCTCATGAATGTTTTGACGCAATTCCAAAAAAACCATGTGCAAGGCGGGACAACACCTAGAGAGAAGCAGGCTTGGAGCCCATTGATTGGCGGAATCAAAGCATGTAAATATAAGGAATAACTGTCAGATTTTTCAAATTCATGAAGATGATCAATGGATTGGCTTGTATGATAATTTAAGCATAAACGCCTTCAGCATATGCAAATTATCACACAAGCCAATCCATTGATCACTTCATGAATTCGAAAAATAAGACAGTTATTCCTTAAATCTACAGTTTCTCATGTGAGTTTGTTTCTTCTTGTTCTGTAAGGATTCAGATTCACCATGCTCCAGTAAGGCAAGGAAAAGGCATTTGTCGGGTTCCGGTTCAAGAAGACACAAGGTAGAGACATATTCTTCCAGTTCTCTTTCAAGTGATGAGGATGAAAACTACCAAGCTAGCAACTGGACGTATGAAGACCTGAAGTACATGAATATTTTTTATGAGGACAAAAGCAAACCCATTAAAAATTTTGTTCAAGAAATTAAAGATGCTCTAAAGGAAAACAAGCTTGTTTGGCCAGATCCCAGCAAAGTGATTGATGTTTTGACAAAACATTTGAATGAACTTATGCCATTTTCGTATGACTTGGCGTCGCTCAGAAAATGGCGAAAGTATGGCAATGTTTCAGCAATGGGAGTGGAGTTGTCAAAATATGAGGAGGGTTTGGTACAGAAAAGGTCTAAAGAATTGCTACAGGAAAACCAGTAAGTCAGAAATTACCTGTGTAAAATTTATTTTAACTTACTGTAGATCACTTTATTTTTGCGACACCTTATTTTCGCTAGGTATCCATTAATTCTTTTTTAGCGAGACAAAATTTTTGCCAATAGTGATTACTGCTATAAATAATCTTAAGAAATACAAATATACACGAGTCAGAGAAAGAAATTTTTGCGAGCAGACTGTTTCGCGTAATTACGCAAAAAATTAAGTTCTTGGGAATAAAAAGTGATTTACAGTACCTCATGCCAACAATAAAAAGCAATTTGTTTAATATGCTTTGACTGACTTGTCAAAATTGCCACTACCAAATAATTTATTTTCAGGACCATTAAATCTTTCTAGGGTAAAAAGATTGATTCATTTGAAGTTCAGATTTGTACTGTATATCCGTTTTTGCACAAAATTTTATTTTTTGCAATCATTTTTAGTTTGCAAAATATAAAACACCCAGAAACTATGTCAGCTATAATGTTACATAAAAACATTACCATTTTAAACAAAAAACCAAGTCGTAAAAAATGACACGCAAAATATAAATTGTACTCATCTACCCCTTTTCCGCAAAAATTTCCAACATGTGGGAAAAAACCCCAATGTATATGGTAATTTTGTTTTTAATATTTCTAGAACATTTATTCAATTGAAATTTTTATAGAAAAAAATATTGAACCTGTCTGCCTCTCAAGTGTATATTTAACACATCAATAAATTTCTGAGCTTGTAACTTTTATGACAATTACATTGTATCAAATTGTTACTAAAACCTGGAAAAACAAGATGTGTTTGTGAAACACTGATGCTCCCGTATGGCAACATAGCAAAGATTAAACTTTTCTTAAATGCAAATTTATTTAATACTGGTACCAAAAGTAAGGTATTCTCACTGGAAATCAATTCTGATATCCGAAATTAGGCCAATGATAAAGTTTTTTCAATAAGTAAAGAAATCTCAAAGGTCAAAAGGTCAAGGTAAATGTTTCCAATGAAAGGTCTTGCCACATAGAGTACTTTTGTAGAGAATGGAAGCCTTGGCCCTTATATTTCAGAAGTTATGGCCAAGATTAATTTTCTTAAAAAGTAGGTTAAACTCCAAGGTCAAGGTCATAGGGTCAAAGTTCTTGTTATCAAATGAAAGGTCTTGTCACAAGGATTAAATATGTGAATTATGAAAGCACTAACCTTAACCCTTAAAACTTATGTCAAGGTTTGATTTTTAAAGTAGGTCAAACTCAAAGGTCAAGGTCAAAGGGTAAAAAATTTAAGTATCCAATAAAGGGTTACATATATGAGGTATGAATGCCCTGTCCCTTATTGTTCAAAAGTTATGGCCCAGGTTAAAGGTTTTATCACAAGCACAGAAATCTCCAAGGTCAGTGTCAAAGCACAGAAATCTCCAAGGTCAGTGTCAAAGGCCAAGTTTGTTGGTATCCAATGAAAGGTCTTTCAACAAATAATGCATTTGTGAAGTATCGGGGATTTTCCACTCCATTTTGGGAATGGGGCCCAGGCCCTTAGAATTGGGAAATATAACGACATTTCATGATTGATTGGGAAATTTTGTTGCAAGATGTTTTTCAAGAAATAAAAACTTAAAATGAATAAAATTGATTTTTTAGCTCACCTCGACAAAGTCGAGATGAGCTTATGCTATACCGTCGGCGTCGGTGTCGGCGTTAGCGTCTGCGTCCCAGGTTAAAGTTTTAGGAGCAAGTCCATTCCCAAGTAACTATAAGCCCTACCTGAACCAAACTTGCATGGATGATACATCTAGGGATGTACACTACCAGACTTGCTTCGGATGCTGGATCTGACCTACATTTTCTAGATGAGTGCCCAGGTTAAAGTTTTTGGAGCAGGTTAAAGTTTTTGGAGCAGGTCCATTCCCAAGGAATTATTAGACCTACCCGGACCAAACTTGCATGGATGATGCATCTACGGATGTACACTACCAGACTTGCTTCGGATGCTGGATCTGACCTACATTTTCCAGATGAGTGACCAGGTTAAAGTTTTTGGAGCAGGTCTTTTCCCAAGGAACTATAAGCCCTACCTGTTCCAAACTTGCATGGATGATGCATCTAGCAAAGGACACTACAAAACTTACTTCGGATGCTGGATCTGACCTACATTTTTCAGATGAGTGACCAGGTTAAAGTTTTTGGAGCAGGTCCATTCCACAGAAACTATAAGCCTTATTTGGACCAAACTTGCATAGATGATGCATCTAGGGATGGACACTACCAGACTAGCTTAGGATGCTGGATCTGACGTATATTTTCATTCCCAAGTAACTACAGTAAAACTCGGTTATAACGAAGTCCTTGGGACCTATGAAATCACTTCGCTATATCCGTAATTCGTTAAAACCGTATAAGAAATTCATTAAATTTATATAGCTGGGGATCCAAAATGACTTCGCTATATCCGTAAATTCGCTATATCCGTGTTCGTACTAAACGAGTTTTACTGTATTAGCCCTACCTGAACCAAAGTTGCATTGATGATGTATCTAGGGATGGACACTTCCAAACTAGTTTCGGATGCTGGATCTGACCTACATTTTCATTCCCAAGTAGCTATAAGCCCTTTTTGGACTAAACTAGCATGGATGATGTATCTAGGGATGGACACTACCAGACTAGCTTTGGATGCTGGATCTGACCTACATTTTCATTCCCATGTAACTATAAGCCCTACTTGAACCAAACTTGCATGAATGATGTATCTAGGGATGGACACTACCAGACTTGCTTCGGATGCTGGATCTGACCTACATTTTCATTCCCAAGTAACTTTAGGCCCTAGCTAAACCAAACTTGCATGAATGATGTATCTAGGGATGGACACTACCAGACTTGCTTCGGATGCTGGATCTGACCTACATTTTCATTCCCAAGTAACTATAAGTTCTACCTGAACCAAACTTGCATGGATGATGCATCTAAGGATAGACACTATCAGACCTGCTTCGGATGCTGGATCTGACCTATATTTTCCATACAAGAGACCAGGTTAAAGTTTTGGGAACAGATCAAGTCCTTGATATCTGCAGTATTAACAAAGTTATGAATATTTGTCAACACTTTACATGTTTTTCACGCTACACACGTAGAAATGTGTATATGCCATGTAAGGGGTTAAACACAACTTGCAAGAATATTGTTGTTGGGATGAATACTAAAAATTAAGAAAATATGATGTGAGATTTCCATTACATAAACTGATAACATTCGTCGAGGTGAGCTTCGTAATCTTTGATTACCTATGTTTTTACATTATTCTAAACTGTAGAACAGAGAGTAGATCATTCATGACAAAGTTTTAGCCAAGCTATTTAAATTTTATTCAGATTTCCAAACCTGGCCATCCCTGAAAATCCCTGAGTATAAATGTATTGGTATCTATTGTTCAAAAGATATGGCCAAAGTGAAATTTTCAAAATTTCATATCAAAGTTGGTCAAACTCCAAGGTCAAGGTCAAAAGGCGAAATCTGGTGGTACACAAGGAAAGGTCTTGTCACAAGGAATACACATGTGAAATATGAAAGTCATGGCTTCACTAAATCAAAAGTTAAGGGCTAGGTTAAAGTTTTTGCGGACAAACAGACCGACAGACAGAGAGACAGCTAGACAGACGGACATACCGATTACATTATACACTCTCACTTTTCAAGCGGGGGTATAAATATATAATGAGCAATTATATTTTCACGGTTAATTTTTGTAACAAAATTGTGCACACCTCTAAATAGATCCATAGGCCTAATGTAATATTTGTGAATTGGTTCTTTCTCTGAAAAAACCCAGCTGGGGGTATCTGTCCCTTTTGGACAGTTCTAGTTTGTATTGATGAAATAGTCCTAAGTGGCAAAAAGAAATAAAAACTTTAAAACAATCCACAAAATTTCTTTTTTATCTAGATCTTATAAAGCATTGGACCCATCGACAAAGGAAGTTGCCGACAGAGTTATTAGATATTTGGAGTATGATGTGGAAACGTTTGTAGACGGAACGTCTCAACTAGCAGAAAAGAATCTACTTGAAAATCCAAAAGGGCTGGGAAGAAAGGCGAGAAAAAGGGCCCGTGGAGAAGGTCGTGTTTTTGAGGATAGTGAATGGAGTAAAACCTTAGAGAACCAGTTTCAGCATTACTGTTCCCTTTTCGTAAGGATGTTCTTTTTACAAAAAGGGTGAGTAGGACAAGGCAGAATTTGACATGATTAAAGCCTTCCTTTCAATATATCCTGAGCAAAATAAGTTTATGAATTAGAATTTAAAAATATATAATATAACACACAGTAATGGAAGTGCAAGAGGCGATCAAAATTTTGTGAACTACTGTTAACGTGTTACATTTTGCGGTGTATTCCAATTAGCTATTTTGGCAGTAAGAAGAGTCCGCTAAATCAAGTACACATCAAAATGTCTTGTGTATTATCATGATTATACTGGTATATTTAGCACATTCAGATTGCGAAAAATCAAATCTACACTAACATTGAAATTTTAATTCCTGCCAAATATTGTGTATGCCAAATATAATACCATATAATCCATATTAACCGTCCAGATGCTTAGAAAATTGCAGAAAGGGGGCAGTTATTTTAATATTCATGCTAAAGTTTTGAATGTCATATTTTAACTTCAAAAAATCTTTTGTAAAAAATCCAAATAACAGAGAACAACTAAAATTGTCTAACCTTCCCTTAAATTACAATAATCCACCCAAATTATGCTATATGACTCATTTTCACATCCAGAAATTAGGGAATAGACAAGGAGAACAAATTTTGTACTTGTATGAATAACAGTCTGTATAAATTTCACTTTCAGAAATACATGATTAGGTTGTTTTAAAAATCATTCACTTTCAATAATATTTTATGTATGAGTTACCTAATAATAAAGTTTCATTTTCATTTTTAGCTCACCTCAACGAAGTTGGGGGAGCTTATGTAATACCCTCGGCGTCGGTGTCGGTGTCAGCGTTGGCGTCCCAGGTTAAGTTTTTTGGAGCAGTTTTCTTTTTAACTACTTCTATGTCCTATATGGATTAGACATGCATGGAGGATGGTTCTGGTGTGTTTCATTGCACCATTCAAAGTTTCAGATGCTGCAATTTCAGCAAAGGAATGACCAGGTTTTTGGAGCAGGTTAACATTTTTGGTGCAGTTTTTGGTTAAGGTTTCATTTCCAAGTAACTATAAGCCCTATGTTGACCAAACTTGCATGGTTGATACATTTAAGGATGCATACTACTGGGCTTGCTTCGGATGCTGAATCTGACCTACTTTTCCGGTTGAGTGAACAGATTAAAGTTTTTGGTGCAGGTTTCTTTTCCAAGTAACTATAAGCCCTATGTTGACCAAACTTGCATGGATGATACATCTAAGGATGCATACTACCAGGCTTGCTTCGGATGCTGAATCTTACCTACATTTTCCGGTTGAGTGAATAGGTTAAAGTTAATGCATGATTCATTTCCAAGTATCTATGATTCTTTAATAACCAAACTTGCATGGATGATACATATAAGGATGCATACTACCAGGCTTGCTTCAGATGCTGAATCTGACCTACTTTTTGTGGATGAGTAAAAATGTTAGTTTTTAATGCATGTTTCATTTCCAATTAACTATGAGCCCTATAATGAGCAAACTTGCATGGACGATAAATCTTAGGATGCAAACTAATGGATTTGCTTCGGATGCTGAATTCGACATGCATTTTTTAGATAATAGACCAGGTAAAAGTACTGAGTGCAAGTCTCATACCAAAAAACTATAAGGCTTACATAACATTGTATAAACCAAACTTGCACAAACGTTGCATCAAGAGATGAAAACTCTCAAATTTGCTTCAGATTCTGGATTTTAATTACATTTTCATGAAGAAGAACTAGTTTAAATTTTTTATGTAGGTCTGTTCAAAGTATCAGATCAAAATTGCTTAAATATTTTCATTTTTGGAATGTACACTTTTTGTTGGTTAATTGTGTGACTTTGCCTTACTTGAAGACAACATTCGTTGAGGTGAGTATGGTGGACTTTTGATACGATTCTGGATGATTTTGATCACTGTACAGGGGGTCCCTTTATTTCCTGACAATTGAAAAAAGACACGGGGAGCGCTTAAAGGAGCAGGGGCAGTTAATAGGGATTATATGGTACATTTACAGTATCTATTACAGTGTACAAAATTCCTGTCCGCCCGCATGCCCGAGACGTACTTAATCTGGAGCGGACGTATAAGTTTTACTCCGCATCAGCCCGCTCGTGCGCACTAATTTTACCCTATATCCTCCAATTTTTTTTTATTGCAGATTAATGTAATGATTAAACGCATATTTTGTATCAAGCACTTTCATTGGCTGAATCATTCAGAGGAACATATTTCACAGTTTATCTAATTGATGGCTTTGATTTCCAAAGAGTATAAACAAAGCTTGGGAGACTTAAATTAATTATAATTGCCTTGCATAAACTTACACTGGTCTTTACGGCATCTGCAGGCCTGAAAAGAAGTACATGCACTCATAAGACTGTCACATGGAAGTTGGAACTAGGGCTGGGACGATACCGAACTTAGCCGATCCGATACATATCACGATACTTTAGGTGCGATACGATACATATCACGATACATTTAAAACCAAATAAAACTAGATATTTTTTTAGAACATTTAATTTGGAACATTACAGATTATAAAAAATAAACTAATTCAACAGAAACCCGACTTACTGCCATTGGGTTTTTGTTGATTTAATCCGGCGTGTCTGACGCCATTCTGATGCTTGTGTTTTGAATTCTGTATCACCAAGATGTTTGTACTTTATTTCTGATTGTTTAAACGTCTTGATGATACAGACTAAAAATTTCGAATTCTAGAGCCCGGACATTTTTGGAAATTAAAAAAAAAGAGCGGGCAGGTATCGTGATACTAAATTAGATGAATCGATCCGTATATCGTCAAAGTGAATACTATGATGCACCGGTGGATCGTCCCAGCCCTAGTTGGAACTTGAATATAAAGTTTAAAAGTCAGACAAAATGTCTTCATAATTTTGTAATACATCATAAACTGGGATTTGGTAGTTGTATTTCCAGAAAAATTGGAATTTCTTAGTTGGAGTTTTAGAATATTTTTTTTTCTTTCAGTTTTGACATGCAGACTTGCTTTTCCTTTAAGAAGAAAACTGTGAGGTACACACATGATCTGGTCTATCATTACTACAAAGAACTAAATAAACGGGGTCCAGACCAACTTCTGTTTTTTATAGAGGTATTTATGTTCTCCAAATAAAGTTTTGGATAATTTTGTTTTTATTAGGTCACCTGAGTAAACGTCATCGTAAGTCATGCATTAACATTTAAACATTTTCAGCTTCTTCTCTGAAACCAGTGAACCAATTTCAACCAAATTTGGCATATAGCTTCTATGGGTGAAAAATTGTGAAATTTCATATATTTGAGATATATATGTTAGTTCTTAACATTATTTTTTTTTTTTAATTTTAGGTAAAGAATGCAGCAGTTTCTTGTGAAGGTGCAACAAACATCAAAGAGCTTGTTGGAGAGAAAATTATGGGACAAGTGGGATCAGCGCTCTTATGCCAGTCACGACAATCACTATTTTTTCCAAATAGCCTTGGTATTATTTGTATGGAAACAAAAGTAAGTACATGTATTGCTTACATAGCACAAACAATAGAAGCGTCTAAGTTAAGCTATTAGTAGGGGTGTCATTCATTTCTGTCAGGGTATTTTCATTGTTATAAACTGTATATATATTCCATGGCTCAAGGCCTTCCCTTTAATACCGATAAATTTGATTCTTTTAAGGTCACCTGAGTAAACTCAGGTAATCTATTGCTATCCATTGTTGTCTGTCGTCGTCCGTCATGCGCCGTGGGTTAACATTTGAACATTTTCAGCTTCTTCTCTGAAACCACTCAACCAATTTTACCCAATGTTGGCACAAAGCATCTATGAGTAAAGGGAAACAAAAATTAAAAATTTTATGGTCCCTACCCCCCTGGGGGGGCTTGAAGGGTGGGGAAAAACCATAAAATTAGTGCAATCTTGAATTCTTCTTCTTTACTCGTGGACATCAAGCAGTCAAACTGTTGGCATGATTGTAATCAGCATTGAGTCCTCTACCAAAATTGTGAAATTCATGGCCCTGGGTCAGAGGTGCTAGTGCTAGGGCAGGGCTACATAGACTGTATAGTGAAAATGCATTATGACTTTGAAAATCTTCTTCTGTGCTCCTGGGCATTAAATAAGCTAACCAAGTACATAGTTATGTTGAATAAGTTTTCCTTTTGGAAAATTGTGAATTTCATGGCCCCATGGTCAGGTGTTCTGGTGTTAAGGCAGGGCTCTGTTGATTATATAGTGGAAATGCATAAGACCAACATTTTTTAATAAAATGGTTTACGGGAACGCTGACTGCAATTTTAGCTGAAACCAAATAAAAATAAAAGTCCCTGTTGTTGATTTTATTTTTAAATTTCCCACTGATTGTCAATGCAAGTGCACCAAAAAATATATAAATTTTTGCAAATAAGTCGACAATTCTGATTGGTTGTTTTATTGTAGGCCTTTCTTTTCATCCAATCAATTTACGTTTCTTATAAACTTTTTCTGAAGTGCATAAAACCTGCCAACATGGACGCAGACATGTCAAATTTTACAGAAGTTGAGAATACATCGTTCTTAAACACGATAGTTCAAGATCGTTTTTGCGATTCAACCATACTAAGCGAACAGGAAAATCAATAAGAGTACATCCAATGATGAAGTTAAGTAAGAGTTATAAGGGAATTAAAGAAATGACTAGAGGATATGTTGACATGGCTGTCACTTTCGATGTGGGGTACCGTATACAGTACGGTAATTCTCTTTTACAATTTTGATACCTTTGATGAACGTGATACGTGAATGGAAATCGAAAATAGACGTTCAAATTTTGTGAAGAACAAATTGTGACTTATCTGCATTGTATATCCATGAAACGTTTTCAAACGTGTGTAACATTTTTAAAGAAAGATCATACATGTATATACAGACTGTAAATTCGTATTAAATATTTTGGTGTGTGTTAAAACAGTTATAGAATAGATATATTTATAAACAATGCAAATGATACGGTTTTCAAATTTGTCTATACTTTCAACTTTATCAAGCTTTCAAAATTTTATTAATTGCATAAAACATGCTGTAGTGTAAAATACAGATTTAAATTATGATGCTGGGTTTTATTCAGATTCTCTTTACAACAATTTTTTCCCATATTTCATTTGTTGGTTAATTTGAACATAGTGACGTTCTCATTTTACGCAAACTTTTTTCTTTGGTCATCTTGTTGTCATAATGAGTATTTTTATAAGGAAATCTTTATATTTCCCCATTTCTCCCAAGGTTTAGTAGAGTACTTTAATATTTATGTTGTTATCATAGTTCAAGCTCCAAACCATATATAGTGCAATTTATGTCAAATTATTAAAAATAAAAAAATTACACACTTTTTCCAATTTTATTTTTATTTTCATTAATCCCCCCGGCCCAATTTTTAATAAAAAAAAATTCCTGTAAACCATTTAATAAAAAATGTTGGCCTAAATTCTTTAAAAATGTTCTCCTCTGTGCTTGGATATTTAACCAAAGAACTCTGTGCATAGTTATAATAAGGAAGAATGCTTCTTTCCAATTTGTGAATTTCATGGCCGCTGGGTCAGAGGTTCTGGTGTGAGGGCGGGGCTCTATGTGGTTAATTAGTGTAAATTCATTAATTCTATTAAAATCTTTTTGCTACTTGATATTAAACCAAGTAAAAAGTTATGATAAATGGGAATGCCTTTTCTTAAATTTAAAATTTCATAGCCCATAGGTGAAGGGTTCTGCCCCATTGGGATTACGGTTAGAAGAGGTCCTCAGTACCTCCTTGCTTGTCGTAAAAGGCGATTAAATTGGGCGGTCTCTCTGATGAGACTGAGGCCCCTTGTCAAAGCAGGTGTGACACAATAAAGATCCCTACCTGCTCAAAGGACGTAAGTGCCAAGCATAGGCCTAAAGAACTATATGCGGTATATTGCATATGTTTGCCCCCACAAAAGTCAAATTTTGAAAACTTCCTGAAATGTGCTGAATTCAATAAATTGTACGAGAAATATAAGTTAACAGAAAATATTATAGTTCCAGAGCAGTGTATTCACAATTTCTGTTTTTATGACGTCACAAACTAGTCCGATTTTATATCCTTTTTCAGAAAGAGGACAAAATGGACAAAATTTCAACAATTTAAGCTTTAAAATTTATAGAGCGCATGTGTGTTCAGGAACAATATTGACATATTTCATTGATATTATCATTCTACACATTATATCAAAATATTTATCCTGAACACACATGCGCTCGGTGACTTTTATTTAAAATATCGACGAAATATGTACATTTTTCTGCAAAATTCATAAAAAACTTAAATTTACGTCATGTTTGTGACGTCATTACGTACATATGACGTCATTACTTATGAAATTATTCAGTGCTTTAAAGTCAGCATATACTCCCCTGTTTAAGGACTTAATTAAATATTACTCCATCAAAGTTTGATTTTTTGGGGCAAATGTTGGTTAATACCGCATATAGTTCTTTGCAGCTCTTCACCGGCAATGGTGACGTCTCCATATCAGTGAAATATTCTGGAGAGGGACGTTCAACTGTATACATGTATATGTATGATAAGGGGTTCTGGTGTTAGGGCAGGGCTCTTTAATTGTTTATATAGTGAAAATACATTAATTATACCCCACGCAACTAGTTGCGGGAGGTATAATGTTTTTGACCCGTCCGTCAGTCAGTCAGTCAGTCCGTCAGTCAGTCAGTCCTCTTTTTTTGTCAGCGCAACTCCTCATAAACCGCTGCACAGAATTTCGTCAAACTTTGCAGGTATTTAGGACACAATGTGTAGATGTGCATATTACCAGGAAATTCCGATTTCATTATTTTTTCCGGGAATTTCAACACTTTTTAACTTAGACATTTGGCCATACCTTGAATATACAGATGAACAGTTTGTCAGCGCAACTCCTTATAAACCGCTTCACAGAATTTCATCAAACTTTGCAGGTATTTAGGACACAATGTGTAGATGTGCATATTACCAGGAAATTCCGATTCCATTATTTTTTCCGGGAATTTCCACACTTTTTAACTTAGACATTTGGCCATACCTTGAATATACAGATGAACAGTTTGTCAGCGCAACTCCTTATAAACCGCTTCACAGAATTTCATCAAACTTTGCAGGTATTTATGACACAATGTGTAGATGTGCATATTACCAGGAAATTCCGATTCCATTATTTTTTCCGGGAATTTCCACACTTTTTAACTTAGACATTTGGCCATACCGTGAATATAGAGATGAACAGTTTGTCAGCGCAACTCCTCATAAACCGCTGCACAGAATTTCATCAAACTTTGCAGGTATTTAGGACACAATGTGTAGATGTGCATATTACCAGGAAATTCCGATTCCATGATTTTTTCCGGGAATTTCCACACTTTTTAACTTAGACATTTGGCCATACCTTGAATATAGATTTGTCAGCGCATACCTTGAATTTCATAAACTTTGCAGGTATTTAGACACAGTGTGTGTCATATTACCAGGAAATTCCGCCATTATTTTTTCTTTATAAACCGCTTCACAGAATTTCGTCAAACTTTGCAGGTATTTAGGACACAATGTGTAGATGTCCATATTACCAGGAAATTCCGATTCCATTATTTTTTCCGGGAATTTCGACACTTTTTAACTTAGACATTTGGCCATACCTTGAATATAGAGATGAACAGTTTGTCAGCACCACTCCTGTTAAACTGTTGTACATAGTTTTGTCAACCTATGCAGATATTTAGGACATATTCCATTATTTTATCCCAAAGAGTTTTGCCTATTATTCAAGAAAATTTCTCACCCCCACCCCACCCCAACCACTTCAAATTAATGTTTGGATTTGTATAATGCCAAGAAATTTTGATTCAATTATTTATCTAGAAATTTCATTCCACATTTAAATGTCGTAATGTGCAAGACATTTTGATGTGAAGATTTTTTTACAATTATTGCCCTTATTGATCTATACTATGTGTTTAAAGTGCACTGTGCCTTTCATTATGTGTTTCATCGTCAAGTTTTGGCGGAGCGTGGGGCATGTGAGCTAGCTCACTTTTTCTTTCATTCTTTAAAAAATCTTCTCTTCTCCTGAGTATAAAATAAACTAACCAAGTACATGGTTATATTAAATAAGTCTGCCTCTTCCAAACTTTGAATTTCATAGCCCCAGGATCAGTGGTTGTGGTGTTAGGGTGGTGCTCTGTTGATTGTATAGTGAAAATGCATAAATTCTTTAGAAAACTCCTCCTATGCTCCTGGGTTTAAAACCAATGAACTATATACATAGTTATGACGAGGAAGGAGCTTCAACCCAATTTCTGAATTTCATCATCATGAGCCTTTGGTCATGGGTTCTGGTGTTAGATGGGGCTCTTTAATGATCTTATAGTGAAAATGCATGAATTCTTTGGAAATCTTTTCCTTTGCTCCTTGATATTATGCCAATGATATAATATATATTTATTATGAAGAAATGTGCCTCTTCCAAAATGTTTAATTTCATGGCCCCTACTTTAGAATGTTTAATTTCATGGCCCCTGCTTTAGGGATACTGCAGACGGGAGGGGGTTACATAGTCTGAAAATAAAGTAATACTTTGAAATCTGCTCTGTGATATTAATCAATCATTTGTGATGGAATGAAATTTATAAAATTTCCAAAATTTTGAAATATGTGGCCACAAGGTCAGTGGTTCCTCTGGGTTGGTGTGCACAACAGGTGGTTATAAAGTGGAAACTTATTTTCTCTCTGTTACTCTGATATGCCTATGAAAATAAGCATGCTAAGTGTATAGTTATGATAAACTATGTTGCCTGAATTTCAAGGCTTTTTGACTTAAAAAAGTCAAATCAAACTCAGTTGTTGGAAAGTTTTTACATGTTACTCAGGTGAACTATAAGGCCTGTGGGCCTCTTCTTTATTGGAGATTTTGTCTTTTGAATTAACTTCAGCCAAACATTTCGAACAGTTGGTGCTAGGGCTTTCACATTTTATAAGCATATTCCTTGTGACAAGACCTTTCTTTTGGTACCAATATTATAAATCTCTTGACCTTCACTTGGAGTTTAACTTGCTTTGAGAAACATTAACCTTGCTAAAAGCTGTAAACAGGGGTATCACTGTTTCACAAACAATTTTTCTTTTTCCCTTACAGCTTATTTTTGTTTTTCTGAAAATATCCTTGGAGCATTGGTTTGGCATACATGGAGAAGAAAGATCACCAACTGATCCAGGAATGATAATGTACACAGAACCATTTGACATGCTGAAACAAGAAGACAGATTGAAAATGGCAGACTTTATGTTCTGGCTAGGATTTGTTCAAAAGCGCAGAAGATATTTCTCAGTATAGTTTAACGAACTTCTTAAGATGGTAGATTGCAGATTAATTGTATATATAAGAAAGTTAACATGTTTTTATGGGTAGAGGGAAACAAAAAATGTGAATTTCAGGATCCCAGTCCCCCCTAAAGAAGTTACAATCAGCAGAAACAAAAGACTAACAAACCACTTAAGTTATTAGCTCTACTGGTCATAGACCAAGAGAGCTTATGCGATAGTAATGCGATTTCAATAAAAGGTGTTGCTATGGTTACTAAAAATAGAAATTTCTGGGAAATTCTTTTAAAATGTTACTCCTCCTACAGATTTGGTCTGATTTCAATGGAAGACAGGTATACTACACTAAAAATACACTCTTCTGTTTATCAGTTTTTGACTTTGAGAAACATTATTGCCTTGGTTACTAAAAATAGAAATTTCTCTTAAATACTCTCAAAATGCTACTCCAAATACAGTTTTAGCTTGATTATAATGTGGCTTACAAGTAGACTACACTATGAACATAAAGAGACTTTTCTCTTCCCTTGCTATAAGTACAAACCAGTAGAGCTTCAGTTTAGACAGAGACTTCTGGTTTTTATGTATGTATTTTTATGTATTTTATTTCAATTTGCTCATGATTATATGATTTTTAGGTCACCTGAGTAAACTCAGGTGACCTATTGCCATCCGTTTTCGTCCGTCGTCGTGCGACGTCCGTCGTCCATCGTGTGTTAACATTTGAACATTTTCAGCTTCTTCTCTGCAACCACTCAATCAATTTCAACCAAATTTGGCACAAAGCATCTATGGGTGAAGGGGAACAAAAATTGTGAATTTCATGATCCCTGCCCCCCTGGGGCCTGAGGGGTGGGGCCAAAACCACTAAAATTAATGCAATCTTTAAAAATCTTTTTCTTTACTTCTGGACATCAAGCAGTCAAACTGTTTGCATGATTGTAATCAGCATTGAGTCCTCTACCAAAATTGTGAAATTCATGGCCCTGGGGTCAGGGGTTCTAGAGCTAGGGCGGGGCTAAATAAGTATATAGTGAAAATGCATTATTTCTTGGAAAATCTTCTTCTCTGCTCCTGGGTATTAAATAAACCAACTAAGTACATAGTTATGATGAGCAAGAGTGCCTCTACCAAAATTGTGAATTTTATGGCCCCAGGGTCAGAGGTTCTGGTGTTAGGGTGGGGCTCTATTGATCATATAGTAAAAATACATGATTTCTTTGAAAATCTTCTTCTCTGTCCCTGGGTATTAAATAAACCAAGTAAGTAAATAGTTACAATAAGCAAGAGCGCCTCTACCAAAATTGTGAATTTTATGGCCCCAGGGTCAAGGGTTCTGGTGTTGGGGGGGGGGGGGCTCTATTGATTATATAGTGAAATTACATGAATTCTTTGAAAATCTTCTTCTCTGCTCCTAGGTATTAAATAAACTAACTAAGTGCATAGTTATGATGAGCAAGAGTGCCTCTACAAAAATTGTGAATTTTATGGCCCCAGCATCAATGGTTCTGGTGGGGGGGGGGGGATTTATTGTTTATAAAGTGAAATACATGAATTCTTTGAAAATCGTCTTCTCTGCTCCTAGGTATTAAATAAACTAACTAAGTACATAGTTATGATAAGCAAGTGTTACTAAACCAAAATTGTGAATTTTATGGCCCCAGGGTCAAGGGTTCTGGTGTGTGTGTGTGTGTGGGGAGGGGGGGGGCTCTGTTGATTATGTAGTGAAAATATGTGAATTCCTTGAAATCTTCTTCTCTGCTCCTAGGTATTATATAAACTAAGTAAGTGCATAGTTATGTAGTTATGATGAGCAAGTGTGCCTCAACCAAAATTGTGAATTTAGTGGCCCTATCATCAAGGGTTCTGGTGTTCGGGGGGGGGGGGGCTCTATTGATTATATAGTGAAATTACATGAATTCTTTGAAAATCTTCTTCTCTGCTCCTAGGTATTAAATAAACTAACTAAGTGCATAGTTATGATGAGCAAGAGTGCCTCTACAAAAATTGTGAATTTTATGGCCCCGGCATCAATGGTTCTGTGGGGGGGGGGGGGGGGAGCTTTATTGTTTATAAAGTAAAAATACATGAATTCTTTGAAAATCTTCTTCTCTGCTCCTAGGTATTAAATAAACTAACTAAGTGCATAGTTATGATGAGCAAGAGTGCCTCTACAAAAATTGTGAATTTTATGGCCCCGGCATCAATGGTTCTGGTGGGGGGGGGGGGGAGCTTTATTGTTTATAAAGTAAAAATACATGAATTCTTTGAAAATCTTCTTCTCTGCCTCTAGGTATTAAATAAACTAAGTAAGTGCATAGTTATGATGAGCAAGAATGCCTCTTCTAAAATTATGAATTTCATTGCCCCAGGGTCTGGGGTTCTGGTGGGGGAGGGGGCTTTATTGTTTATAAAGTGAAAATACATGAATTCTTTGAAAATCTTCTTCTCTGCTCCTAGGTATTAAATAAACTAAGTAAGTGCATAATTATGATGAGCAAGAATGCCTCTTCTAAAATTATGAATTTCATTGCCCCAGGGTATGGGGTTCTGGTGTTAGGTTGGGGCTACTATTGATTATATAGTGAAAATACATTAAATCTTTGAAAGTGTTCTTCTCTGGTTATGAAGCAGATGAACTATCTATATAGTTATGATGAGCAAGGGCCCTAATCTTGCAGAATTGTGAATTTCAAGGCCCCAGGGTCAGGGGTGGGGGGGGCTCTACTTATATATTAAAAATGAATTAATTGTATGAAATCTGGTCCTTTGTATTTATAAAACATTTATTTACTTTTTGATAGGCAATTTTAAGGGTGCCTTTTAAAAATTTGTGCAACCTAGGGTCAGGGGTTTATGTCAGAGTGTTAGGGGCACTAATGATTATTGATGAATATTACTGATTAGTTGGAGTGCATTTTTGTTCCCCTACCCTGTGTATGGGTATTCAGTAACCAAGCTAAGCAACTAAGTTTATTGTTATGATGATCAATGGCGCCCTTTCAAAATTGTGAATGCCATATAGCATCTGGCTTAAAACATGAATCAAATTCAATACACTGTAACTGGAAAGTTGTTGCATAATGCTCAGGTGACCTATAAGGCCCGTGGGCCTCTTGTTCTGTTTTGGAATGTATATATTAATTGAATAATAATGAAATGAAAGTTATAAATATTGTGAAATTTTGTAGATATCATTGAATAAAGCTAATGTATACAGACTGTACCTTCTTTTGATGTGTCAAGTTCAGAGGTTCATGCACAGAAAACTTGTGTTCATAGGTGCTCCATTTTTCAGTTATTTTAGACAAGCTCAAGGTTGAAAACACATGATACATCTAAGGATGCAGGGGATTATTTCTCTCTCTCTCTCTCTCTCTCTCTCTCTCTCTCTCTCTCTCTCTCTCTCTCTATATATATATATATATATATATATTATATGATTGAATAATTTCCATCTCTCTGATTGGCTGAGATCAAACTATGTTAGAAAAATATTGCGTTGTATTGACCTGCACGTGACGTTCCAGGTCAATACAAGGATTTATTTCCTCTACATTGATCTAAAAATAGATTTGGAGATTCAAAATTGATACAAATTGTTTTAGAAGGCTATTTTAACGACTATGATTTTAATTTTCATGTAAACAAAACATAAGCGAATATATATTTTAGGCGAGGGTGGTAAGAGGGGATGCAGGGACCCCCCCCCCCCTTCCAACACTTTAACTGAACAATTTTGTTTAACTTTTTGGCGGTCAGTTTTCACTAACAATACTCTTTCCTTTCAAAATCTATCATATAAAAAAGACTGACATATATTTTTTTCATTGCAACTAAAATTGATATAAAAAACGTTTCAAATTGATACGACTGGTAAGGTTTATTCACATTTTAATTCTGCATCTTTCATGTATTTGGCTAGGACTTAATAAAATAAGTTGTATCATTTTATCAGTGAATCATTTAATAAAACAATTATTGCTGTTTTTTCGGTCAATACAATGATTAAGCCATCTTCAAAGTACAATATTCACCTCGCCCTTCGGGCTCGGTGAATATTGTACTCCTCAGATGGCTAAATCATTGTATTGACCTCAAAAACAAGCAATAATTGTATAATATACATATGTATATACACATGTATATATAACTTATTTTTATGCCTTCTTTATAATTATGAAATATAGGTAGATAAATAAAAGTTTTACAAATATATAAACTACAAAGTTATTAAAAGTGTGTGTGTTGATTTATTTAAAGTAATATACGCCGTATGGATGCCGATTTGTATGTGAAACAAAATGATTAAATGATTTGAAACACATCAAGTGTAATGAAAAAATAATATTTACACAAAATTTAACTATAAAATTCGTTGTAATAACAGAACAATAAAGCAATATCTGCAGTCAAGAATTCAATATTTTCATGAATATTAATTAAGGAAGTGCGTAAACAGTAGGTCTAAATATAGACTTGTATGTCCACGGGAAATTATAGACAAAGAGGCACGTTGCATTTTGACAACGATTTTAATAAAAGGTTTATATGCGTTATAACAGAGTATAGATGGTTGATACTGATTACATTTACAGATAAGTTATATTAATAGTAACACGCCATCCATGTCGAAAGTGAGTTGTATCTCAAAGGGCTTACCTCGTTTTCTTGACGCCGTGTTTGTTTATCAATCTAAAAGTAGCGACGGCGTCACGTGGTGGATTTACTTAAAAATAGGCATTATTCTCCTTGCAGGATAATAAGTAATTATAATTTAATAATTTTATAACGAATTTTATTTAAATGGTGTAATTTACAGCATTTTCGTAACTTTTATTGGTAAACAAAATATATAAATTTCCAGCCGTATTTTAAAATGGCGCACGTTATGGCGTATAATACTTTAACATTTTGCTGAATTAATTATTTTCCCGCCAAAACTCTATTGAGCGATTGGTGTGGACATATCACATGACTAGTGACCATAGACAGGTTTTTGAATCTATTTGGGGTGTTGGTCATTCTTGTCCAGTGTTGTGGTACCAGCAGGTTGTGTCTATATTTAGTTTACTTTAGTGGACATGTATGTTTGACTTTTTGTTTGGTTTTTAACTTTGAAGTTTCAGAATTGTTTCGGGATGATATTTCCAGTAGATAAAACTTGCATGTTTAATTCTTTTAGTTTAGCACAGCACTTAGTTAAATAACCAGATAATTTGGAGATCCTAAATTCCATAATTTTGGTAAGTCGTTTGTTAAATACTATTTGTAAATGTAAGTGTAAATAATTGTTTTATTTTATCACTAAACATTCATAGTTAAATAGGTTCAGTGGAGATTACTTTATGAATTAAATTTATAAGTATTTAAAATATAACTATATTGAGTAATTGTTCGTATACGTATTTTCAGTGAGAGACTATTTTATGATTAGCCTTTTGTATTATAATATGAACAATTGATTATTTTATACATTATTGAGGTTTTGTCAATTATTTTACAGGGTCAATTATGTTTATTATCGGGAATATCCTATTTCCTATACTGAAAGTAGGATTCTTGCCTGGAAAGCAATATAAAAGATCGACAGAAAGATTTTTATGCCCCCATAAATGAAGTTTCAAGGGTATATTTTGTCCTGTCCATCCATCTGTCTGTCTGTTTGTCCACGAAAACTTTAACATTGTCCATAATTTTTGATTAAGTTAAACTATAACTTTCATATTTCTATCATAGCAAATGTAGCAATAAAATTAAATTGTAATTCAATAAAATTAAATTGTAATTCATTTTTTGTGAATTTGCGGAGAGAAATTATTATAACAGATGCGAGCTCTGAAGATAAAAGACGCTGGCCACTAGGAATTGAACTTTAACCTCGACGGTACCAATTCATTGGAATGTGGCTGTTTACTTGTTTATAAAAATTAAACTTTTAATACCATTTTGTGTTCTTCGACAAAAAAAATCAGCATGCGTTATCAGGGGTTTTTAAAAAAATATCAAATTTTGAGAATCTTTGCATTGTTCAAAGAAAAATGTATAAAAATTACGAAACAAAAATTCCAGATTTTTTTTTCATAAAAATTGTTTTAAAAGGGTTGTTCAAATCCATATATAGACATTAAAAATGTTACAGACAGGTCCTTTATCCAGTGGAACTCTTCAACTCCAAGGAAGAACCTAAAGTTCAAGCTACATCTCTTCGAACCAGTACTTTCAGTCCTTTGATTCTAATTATAAAAATCGGGATCGGCATTTGGTTTTGTGTACACAAAGCCAGCACAAAGGGCCAAGGTGCATGTCGATAATGTTTAGCTGGGTATTTCCATTTGTAACATTAATTAAATTCTGTTGATTGATCCTTGCTCTTCACTGCCAAAAGATAAGATTACCACGAATAAAATTATCCCCGAGAAGATATGAAAAAGGGTAAGTATACTATGGAGATAAGAGGACATATCTCGCGTCCTGACGCGTACATGCCATGTATGTATGGCGCAGGCTAAATTATTGATTATAAATGAAATGTCGTATATGACGTGTAACAGACCTATTGACTCTCATTTGATTTCGTCGTATTTCTAAATTTACGGATTTATACCCCCAAGTTCGTCTCAGGCTTTGCTCTTTAAATATTATGAATTATGAAAACACGGAAATCGAAAATAAAATCGTTTGCAATTTAGAAGTTAAGCCAAATAAATACATGTAATTTTATGATTATGATATGTCCAAATTTCACGCTTTTCATGCCCCTGGATAAAGGCTGGATTGAAAGATTGACCATGTGCTTGATCTTGGACAAGTGCATGAAAATCAGGCTGATTAACTTGTTAAAAACTCAAACCTTGGCCATAACTATTGATAACTGTTGAACAGTTAAAAAATAAGGGCTTACATATTTAGGTAGACCTAAATTTCTTGTAATAAGACCTTTTTTACCTTGACATTTGGTATTTGACATTTATTTTGAGATGATATCGGTTGCCAATGATAAGAGTAAATAGGTCAGGTGTAGTCAGCCTATTTTTTTTCATCTTTAATTTCTTTGCATATAAAAAGTCAAAGGTATGCCAGACTCATTAGTATAATCTTGCGCATTACATATAGATGATTTTTTTATTCTTTATAAACATGATATAGGACTGTTGCAAATGTTTGATTTGCATTTAAATAATTTATATATTAGGACATGTTTTACAGTTTAAAAGTGTTAGAATAATCGATTATGTGTATTTGAAACTGTCTAAATAAGTATGACATAATATTATACTTTCATGTAAATTACTTGAATCTGATTCGTCGAGAAACATTTGATAAAAATCACTTCTTTCCGCTGAGTAATGAATCCATACCCTTCTGCGTAGCAACAGTCAACATTGCTTGACGACGGATGGTATTGCAAAAAATAGTGACTGCGCAGAATTTATGCGCATGGTTCACTGTAATATGCATTTGTATAAAACATTCAGTATAATAAAAATATTGCATGTAGTTGGGTAAAATTTTCACCCCCTCATAAACCATTGTCAACCTGGGTTGACAATGGTTTTCTTGGGGTGAAAATTTTCAATGTTACACTCAACTACATGCAATATTTATATATTGAATTCCCTAAGAATGGGATAGTCCAATCCACACTTTGCAATAGTTATGTGGTTTATATATCCCTTTGCTGGGTCAACCAAAAGGGAAAGAATTGACATTTCTCTTCTTTATGCTAAGCACTAATCATTTTGGCATGCTCCGATAAATCCACTGTGTGTAAATTTTTTTCTTGTGATATATGGATAGCTCCATCTTGTGACAAACATTTTACTAGATGCGCAGAATTTTTCGTGTCAGTTGATAGAGTAGTAAACCAGAAAACTAGAAAAGTTACATAATCTATGGGTTTTACCACAAAAATGGCAGCCAAGGGACATAACTTTTGAAAAGTGTGGATTCAGAGATTCAAAGATGCCCAATATTCTCCATGTTATGCTTCTCCATCGGCTCAATGGCTAATGAATGCACAAACACGGGTTTAAGATAATATGTTCAATGGTTTGACGGTTACCTTCAGCGAACTGTACTAACAGATACCTATAACAGACTCAGCTCACACTTGTCTTGGTGATCTGCCTCTTTAAAATTTAAACCGCACAGTCTAGACTATGATTTCACATGACTCAATAATTTACAGAGAAAGCAAAGAGTCTGGTTTAATGTTACGAAACAACAGGTCTGACACGTGCAAATATATATATTTACATTTGCTGATGTCTTTCCTTATATAACAATAATAATGAAGTCAAAATTCAGTTTTCATTTCAATCAATTTTTCTTGCACTGCATATGTGAAATGCGTTCTTTCTGATTTCTGAATTACCATTAAAACAAGACAAAATAGCATTTAAAATTTTTTTTTACCACAAATCCCTGTGTCCTTAGGAAGACCCCCATTGAATTGGAGGTCAATGATGATTAAAAATTGGTTTTGTTTAAAAAGTGAGGAACCTAATGCTCTGTATATATATTTACATTTGCTGATGTCTCTCCTTATATAACAATGATAATGAAGTCAAAATTCAGTTTTCATTTCAATGACATGCAGCTGGTTTCTTGCACTGCACAAGCCATTTGGAAAGTTTTGATTGTGAAATCCTTTCTTTCTGTTTTTCTGTAACACTTCCCTTTCTGAGTGATATCTTGAAAAGCCAGAGCTTTTTTAAAGACTTTTTTTTACCACAAATCCCTGTGTCCTTAGGAAGACCCCCATTGAATTGGAGGTCAATGATGATTAAAAATTAGTTTTGTTTAAAAAGTGAGCGAACCTAATGCTCTGTTTGTTCTTTTCAGGTTTGGACAATAATTAAGTCATGATGGAAGAGGTCAGAAGCTGGCATGTACCTTGTCATGAATATCCACTATCTGATGAAGAGAAAACAGGTATGTATCAGGGTTTCAGATTGGCGTCGGTCATCGGCCATTTGCCGATAAAAATTCAAAATGGCCGAAAAAAATCAAATTAATCTGCCAAAATGGCCTATGGGTTTTACATTGAGCAGACATAATCAGGTTGGGCACAATTCCTTTTTCGGGGAAGTATTACTGTAAAAGGGAACTATTACTCTTTTCAGTAATAAAAACATTACTGAATTCGGGAATTTTCACTCATGTAGCCTCTATTCTTGTGTTTGTTTTGATTAAAAGATAAAGTGCAAGAATATTTTCACATCCTCTAAATATTTAATGTCTGTTAAATGTATGTGTGATCAAAACTGCAATATTTATGGCTGCAAAAAGCTGAAAAAGAGTGATGAAATATTTCTATGATAAAGATTTCTTACGGTAGCTTACCAGTGTTAAAATTGTGTTAATGGATACGTTCAGCACTTGTTAACTCGTTCATGAGATTATTCATTCTAATTTAATTTTATACTATTTCTTAAAATGAAATCGTAACAATAATTTTAAATATCAATGCTTATTTTATAGATGAAAATAATTATTTGAAATATTAAATTTCAAACAATATTCTTTTAAAATTGTCCTGGAATGAATGTCCTTATTTTCAAACAATATTCTTTTAAAATTGTCCTGGAATGAATGTCCTTAAGATTCCATACTTTTTATACCATTATCAACATGGAAAATTATTAAATCTCATCTTACTCTTTTCTGCAGCAATGGAGGTCCAAATTTTTCAGTCAGCAAGGTTTGTTTGATAAAGATAAAACACATCACACTGTATTTTTTATGCACTTTTTATTTAATAAATGGATGTGAGGCATTATTTAAAAAAGGTGACAAAAATTCCCCAATTGAGTAATGTTTTTATTACTGAAAAGAGTAATAGTTCCCTTTTACAGTAATACTTCCCCGATTTAGGAACTGTGCCCAACCTGATAATGGCCGATTATTTTCTCTATGTAAAGGCCAGTCGTATAGTATTTCTCCCATTCAGATCCAATATTGTTTTTTAAAATACTTTCTGCAACTGCAGATTCAATCAGCCAATTACATTTGGATATTAGATTCTGACAAAAAATACTTATATTTTATTTCCAAATCCAAGAGCAATGAGCATAAAAGTAGGCCTAGTGATGAATGTTGAAAACATCGAAGAAATCCATGTCATGTTGTTATTTTTACCGCCATGATTGTACATGTGGTCGGACTAATAGCAGGAAGCGACAATATTGTAAGGTTTTACTATACAAAGGAAAACATTTTTAATCTAGGCAATCTTTAAATGTAATTATACATATAATGAGAAATACAGGTCTAATTTCTGGATAATTATTTTTAAGAAATTGTAATAATAAGAAATAAATTCATAGGATAGGACTAATATCAGTAAAACATCCATTGAATGGAATTAAACAAAACAATTTCCATTCTGTTTGAATAAATTTAAAATAAAATTTAAAAGAAACAAAATAAATAATATAATTATTTTCCACTTTTTATTAAAAAAAATTAATGAACTTTTTAAAATATTTTTTGTAATTAAATGATTGTTTTGTAAACGTCAGATAAATCTGAGTAAGTTTAAATTTTCTATTGGCCTATAGTTTTAGGAAGTTTAGGACAAAATGGCCTATAACTTTTCAGGTAAATATGCCATATGTCCTATGGTTACTTATTTCAATCTGAAACCCAGATGTATTGGTATTCATGAAATGAAAATCTTTTGTCCAATAGATATTTTCCACTTACAAGAGCTATTCCCCCTCTGCAGACCATTCTGGGGTTAGTTGATATGATTTGAAACATAACAATTTGTTGTTGGGCAAACATGAAGGTCACTTGACCCTCTCAGCCAATCAGATTCTATTTCATTGCTGATAATTTCAATTGAGGTATAATGATATAATTTGATTAAAAATTCTTGATTAGGGGTGTCAAACAGGTACTAATTTCTTTTGTGTGGGCAAAACTACTGAAAATCACATTTTATTCGAGAACTTTATTTATGAATAATTAAGCGAGACAATGAGCTCGCAAAAATTTCACTCTCACGTTAAAAAGTATTCCTTAGATTATATAGAGGAAAAACAAGATTTTGTGAAAATTATGTCTTGCTAATAAAGAGTCAATGACTATCTCGCGAAAATAAGGTGTCGGGAAAATTTAGTGATCTACAGTATTTACATGTACCTGCAGTTGTCTCCAAGGTGGCCCAGTTGGTTTTGATTAAACTGACTGATGGAACCCATTAAATTAAAGAGAATTTTTCCTTTTGTTAACCCCATTTATCCCATGGATATGTTTTGATATCACACAATGAAGTGAAGTTGTGATGTCACAATAATTCATAAAAAGTTGAGTCATATATAAAAACGATGTAAAGCATCGGTTGTGAAGTATTAAATATGGGAAAAAAAGAATCTTCCATAATTTGTTGTTGGATATGAATTTTATCCAACTGGTTGTCCCCTTTCCAAGGCATGGAGATAAAAAAAACATGCACACACACACACAAATCACTGGATAAAAATCTAATCTCAACAAATCATATGATATCCTATACTTTTAGCATTCTTACATATTACTTGCTGTGGTTGTAGAAAAGAAAGAGACATCAGAGCAGCCTGACCCCATAAATGAGGAAGAGCCATCTGACCCAATTACTGAAGAAGAGCAGTCTGACCCAATTAATGAGGAAGAAGAAAAAGAACAGGAGAAGGTTTGTAAATTTTATGGGCCTTGTCTCAAAATGATAGGGACCAAAAGTAAAGTTGCATTACTGAGACAAAGTATCTACATGTAAGCTCTATCTGTACCAAACTTGCATTGATGACGGATCTAGGGATTGGCACCACAGCACTTGCTATGGATGCTGTATCTGACCTATATTTTCTAGATAAGTGATCAGGTTAAAGTTGTAGGAGCAGGTCCACTATTAAGTAACTTTATGCCCCACCTGGACCAAACTTTCAGGGATGACAGCTTTAGGGGTTTAGCTTGACAAATTCACTTCAGGTGCTGGATCTGACCTATATTTTCCACATGGGTGATTTCAGCACACCTAAGGATGAAAACCAGACTTGCTTTGGATGCTTTGGATATTTGAAATGACCAAGTTTTCTTGATAAGTAAACAGGTTAAATGTTTTCTGAGGAGGTATATTTCCAAATAACTGTAAGTCGTACTTAAACCATACTTGCATTGATATTGATCTTTGGATGTACAATAGAAAAAAATTATGATACTAGATTTGCTTTACTTAAAAATAATGATCATTTAGGTGAGCTTCGTAAACTTTGATTACTTATGCTTTTTCTTAAGTATGGAATTTTGAATGATAATGGCTTAACTAGAACCTTTTAAAGAGAAATACTGTATCACAAACAAATTTTCTTCTCTGTAGTACAGAAGATATACTATGGTATTTTTTCAGCATATTTCAGCAAATTCAGTATTTCATTTAACAGACATCTTATCAGAAAAAATGTAGTAGTGAGAAATGTAAACAATAGACCTAGAAAACAGTTTCCAAAAAAAAATTCACAAACAAAACCTTTACATGAAACTTATCTCAAGAATTATATAGAATATTTTATAGTTGCATTAGGCCATAATAAAAATATTCCTAGATTCTCATCCCCACCCGCCCTGATTTTATACCCCCGCCTTGATTTTTTTAAATTTCTGTTTTTCTTCGTCTCAGTTCTGATCGGGATTGGTATTCACCTTCCATTATACTTTCATTTTAAATCCCGCGAAAGTCGACATGATTTTGACAGCTGAAAAGATGGTAATTGCTGTAATACATGCGTATATATTTTAAACAAGGGTCATTATGGTGATGATGTGAAGTAAGAGATAAATGAACCTTTACTATGATGTTTATTCGTGTATTGTAGATAAAATTACACCGATTGACCAGGTCAATAAAAAATCTACAAATTGAAAAAAAAAAAAATATAAAATAAAAGCCGCCTGCCCGTCTCAATTTTTAAAAAAATTCGGATGAGAATCTAGCAATTTATTTATTATGGCCTTATCTCACTTTTATCAAATTTTGCTGGTGGATTGGACAAGCATAAAGCAAAAAGTTATTTTTCAAATTTACAGGATGAACCCACAGCTAACTCGACCAATTTAACTGAAAATGATGATGAAAGCACAGAAAATGTGACTGCCGAGGACAATCAAACTGAGAATCCGGACACACAGAACAGTACTAATGTAAATAAAAAGCATTTCGAATGTCACATGTGTGGGAAAATCTTGACTCGTGCGGAACATTTAAAGAGACACATATGGACGCATACAGGCGAAAAACCTTATAAGTGTGATCTGTGCGAGAGAGCGTTTTGCGCCAAGTCTGACTTAGATAGACATATAAGGACACACACTGGTGAAAAACCTTTTAAGTGCGACATTTGTGGAAAAGCATTCAATGTAAAGGCATCCCTTAATTACCATATGAGGATCCACACGGGGGAAAATCTGTATAATTGTGATTTATGCGACAAGGCCTTTGGGAAGAAAACTTCCCTGCAGAAACACATGAAGACGCATTTAGACAAACCTTTGGTATGTGAAGTTTGTCAGAAGGAATACAGTGAAAAAGTAGATTTAGATAAACAACCGTTACCATACAAAGGTACCTATCCTAAAAACTGTGTCATGTGTGGAAAGACGTCAAATAAACTTGTCCTCTTACCAGGCCTCATGGGGTTGGAGGATAAAAGATTTGAATGTGATGTGTGCGGAAAGATTTTCACTCACTCTGGAGTCTTAAAGATACATATTAGGACACACACGGGGGACAAGCCTTATAAATGTGATGTGTGCGACAAGGCGTTCAACCAGTCGGGAAATCTACAGATTCACATGCGGAAACATTCCGGCGACAGGCCGTATAAATGTGATTTGTGTGAGAAGGCGTTCAACCAGAGAGGAAACTTGCAGATCCATATGCGGACACACACGGGAGATAAACCGTATAAATGTGAAGTGTGCGGAAAGGCTTTCACTGGGGCAGGCACCTTACAGAGACACATGAGAAGGCATACAGGTGACAAACCTTACAAATGTGAAGTGTGTGGAAAAGCATTCACAGTGTCAGGTTCTCTAAAGAGTCATATGAGGACACACACAGGGGATAAACCCTATAAATGTGATGTGTGTGGGAGGGCATTCACGGTGTTAAGTACCTTACAAAAACACGTGGTGACACATACGGACGAAAAGCCTTTTAACTGTGGCGAGTGCGGAAAAACATTTAAAATGAAAGCGTACTTAAAGGACCACATGAGGACGCATAGAGGTGAAAAATATAAAAAATACAGAAAGCCATCTAAACGAGAGAAATTAAAAGATGCAGGAATATCTAAACAGGCAAAAGTATGAGAGAAATATAAACACGCAGTTATTTCATTCAAGGACATGTGCTTCAAAGGACTTTGTATGCCCTACTCTGCCCATTACTGTAAATCACTTTTTTTTACACAAGAACTTTGTTTTTGTGTAATATAGCATAATTTATGTGAGATTTTATGCTCTTGAATATTTCATTCTCATGTATAATGAAATTCCTTAAGATTATATAGAGCAATGACCACAATTCGTGAAAATTTTGTCTCCCTAATAAAGAGTCAATGACTATCTTGCGAAAATAAGGTGTCGCTAAAATCAAGTGATCTCCTGTATATAAACGGAACATACAATGTCTATTTCTGACAGACTATCTACTGTTTTCATGGTTATTTCATTATAGCTATATTCTGTATTTTTTGTTGACATTTATTATTCAAAAGCTTTGCATCCTCCAAGAGGCACACACATTTCTGATACAGATACAGAGTGGAAACTGTGGAAACAAAAGTAACAAAAATATATAAAGGAAGATTTGAAATCCACCTTAAGATTTGCATTCTTTTCTATAACTTTTTAAGGTTTCCTTACCCCCTTTTGATAATTGGTGTTGTGGCCTTGTGTTAATGTCTTTCATCTTATAATTCTTAAGAAAATAAATACTAGTAACTAATAGGACTTTTACTCAGATTTATATATTTCTGTAGATTGTCTGTGACAAACCAAATATTTATTAGCCTCCTTTTCATACACAGGTATCTTGAAGATACTAGTATTTGGGATTGTCTGTATGAAGATTTTTGTGCGAGTTTTATTTATGTTGTACATGTAATAAGAAGTAATATTGTATGGAGTGTGTTGAGAATACAAAATTTTATTTTAGTGGTGAAAGGAATCAGTAAGCATGGTAAAGGGTAAAACTAGTGATTAGTGATATTGTTATTTGTCGGTGGTTTATGCTTGTTGTGTATTCACATGCTGTCATTTGTGTTTACTGTTCTATACCCTTTGATGTACTGTATTTAATTGGATTTTTAAATAATAAAATATGTATAAAAAGTTATATATTTTCTAAGTTCACTGATTTTTAAAGAGCTGATAAATGAACTTTTCCATTATGAAAGGGACAGTATTGAAGAATTTGATTGATGAAATATATGGAGATAACGAACATTATTCATGAGAAAAAGTTCTTAAAATTATACAAAATAGGAGCAGAACAAGCACGGACCTCCAAAACTTGAATTCTTCAGAGGTGGAATCAGGTGCCATAGATGAGTGAGCATCCCTTGCTGACTAGTCAATAATTTATTCATCTATTCTCCAACATAAAACATTACTTTTCAACTGTATTTACAACCATTCCCCACAATGAATTGAAGTCTATGCTTTAATTTTTTTGCTGTCATAGGCAGCTTAATTCATATGTGTACTTGTCACTTGCGGAATAATTTTGTTAAAAACATTCTGTTTGTACATAATAGCAAGGACTGTGACTCTGACTGTGAGGCTGATAATGATAAGATGCGTTGAGATTTTGTAGGCAAGTACTACAGTAAAAATCGATTATAACGAAGTCATTGGGACCTTTAAATTACTTCGGTTAATCCGAAAATCGTTAAATTCATACAGGAATTGTATAAAATGTATAAGGAATTCGTTAATTTTCTATTGCTGGGGATCCAAGATGACTTCGCTGTATCCATGAATTCGCAATATCCTTGTTCGCACTAAACGAGTTTTGCTGTATCTATCAGTAAGCAGAATGTTGACGGATTTTTTAATACTTATTTTTATGGCATTTTTTACATGCTGGATTGACTAAGTACTGTATGAAATACAAGACCACTTATGTCACTGGAGTGTTTAAGTCGTAAGAACAGTGTCAAGGTTTGTTAAATTAATGTATTCGACGGAAATAACACACTTGGCTGAAGATAAAAATAATTGTTTCGTATTAAAATATAGATGATGTAAATTTTTATGTTAATAATGTATTGCGAAATTTGCATGACCAGCCTTATCGTGTGAAACTTGTAGGAGTCCCCGCAAAGGACTGGGAAACTATCTCAGGTTCATGTAAGTAATTTTTACAAACTTTTAATTCATTTAAAAATTAATTAATTGCTTTATTGATTTCTTTGATATTTTTGTCAATGAATATTCCGCTATTACCTTCATGAGGTTTATGTCTGCCAATTTTTTCCCTACTCGAGAGCTTGCTCTCATTACGATTACGGATAATTTCTAAAGCAATGCTTGCTACTCACACGTGCGTGAGTTGAGTTTGAGGCATTTGAACAGTTAAAGTCGATCATGTAGCATTTCGTACAGTATTAACTCTACTCACATTGAAAAAAACACAACACAAACATACAATGCCTGACAGTCAGCCGTGATTGCTGGACGCCCTTAATTTATTACTGTTTTACATACATGTACATGTATTACAAATATATTGTGTAATGCAGAAAAACATGACGCTACCTGTCCTTTTCTTTACATGACAGCAAAATGTTTAAAAATCTAATGCCCTTTACAGAAACTCATACATTCTATGTACATGTATGTAAAACGTTCATTTCTAGTCAATATCTCAAGAACTTGTATAAGCTTTTGCAACGAAATTGTATAATATCACTCCCTTTGACCCAGTACGCTTTTCTTAAAGTGTCCACCCTTAATTATACCTTTTCAAATTAAAAAAAAAGTTATTATTTTTCTTTAATTTTTGTAATACATATGTTACTTTAAAAAAGAAGAGGTAGCCATCTCTGTAAAAGTAAATTTTGTTCCAAATATTTTCTATTTGTTCATTTCCTCAAATCCATTCGGCATGCACAAGAACGCTTTAGATTATTAGATTATAGAAAAAATAACTTTGGAATGGTCTTATCACTTTATCCTTGAAAATAAAGTTATGCATATATTTTCAGTGTATATGTATTATTAAAATAATTTCTTTGTATATTTCAGAAAGCTTTCCAATATCCTTGATATTTGAAGCAAAAACAAAAAACAAAAAAAAAAAAACAATGGCAGTCATCAAAATAGGACTTGTTTTCTTTGTTACTTGGGTCTTCTTTATTAAGAGTGGTCAACCACTGTCTCAGCCACATCCAAAATGCGAACAAATTTCGATTCCTCTGTGTAAGGACATATCGTACAATTATACAGTAATGCCAAATCTCTTAAACCACCAAAAGCAAAAGGACGCTGGTTTAGAGGTACACCAGTTTTTCCCCCTCGTCAAAGTTAATTGTAGAGCTTCTAAATTGAAGTTTTTCTTATGTTCGGTGTATGTTCCGGTGTGTTCTATCTTGTCAAAAGCAATCCCACCCTGTCGCTCAATCTGCGAGGAAGCTAGAGATGGTTGCGAACCATTGATGAGACAATTTGGATTTCAATGGCCAGCGAGTTTAGCATGTGAAAAGTTTCCAGAAAATCGTTTGTGTGCTCGTGAAAATATGCCTCCGCCTCAAAAGACTACCACACTCCCTCCAACAATCAGAAGTACACGTTTCTTAAGATCAACCAGTATGAGCGCTCAAACAACTTTTCAACCATATGCAAAATGCCAAGTGATAAAAGTTTCGATGTGCAAAGACATGCCCTACAATTATACAATATTGTCAAACCATGAACATCAAGGTGATATTGGTTTACAGCTGCAAACATTTACCCCTCTCCTGCAGTATGGATGTAGCCCAAAGCTGAAATATTTCTTATGTGCGTTGTATTTACCAATGTGCACAGCTCAGGGGGAAGCTGTTCTACCATGTCGCTCTACATGTAACGAAGTTAGAAACAGTTGTAAACCAGTATTGGAGAGTTTCGGATTTCCGTGGCCAAAGTTTTTAGCATGTGAAAAACTTCCCGATAGTGGTGCCTGCTCTCAAGAAACTACGCCTGGTCAAATAGAATCAACTACCAATCCCCCTTTAAAAAGAGAGTTAGTGCCTGGTCAAATAGAATCAACTACCAATCCCCCTTTAAAAAGAGAGTTAGTGCCTGATTATTATTCTAGTACAACTAATGCTGCAGAATCAGTAAACCACTCTTCTGTAATGGAAGGAGGAAAACATGCATCTTCAACAGAGGGGTCAAACAAGGGCAATGCCTGCTTCTCAGCGAATCTCATCCTTTATGTGTGTGCTATTTTTATGCAATGGATTTGTGTGCATTCTAGGGCTGGTGCTAGTTTCATTTGAAAGGATACATTTTTTGAAGAGATGTCTTTGTTATGGCAGTTTTCTTTTTCTTTTTTTTTTTTAAATAAGTTTTACAGTAATATAGATATTAATCATACATGCATGAATCATTCCCTTCTTTCTATTATCATTAAATTTTCTACACATGTAATGTATTTTTTTTATTTAGTGTACCTGTACATATGATAATAAATAAGAGAATATAAACATTTTGTTGTGGTATTTTCAGCCATGATGATTGGGACGGATGCTATTTTCCCACAGGCCGGTTTCACATTAACTGTAACAAATTGCAGAATCGCTACAAATATATATATATATATATATATATATATATATATATATATATATATATATATATATATATATATATATATATATATATATATATATATATATATATATATATATATATATAAGGGACGTCTTGTCCAAATCTAAAGATTCTGTTTCGAGGGGTTGTCAACCTAATGCCCACACCGTTACGGTTTGAAAAAGGGTCGGTCCTTGTTTTGTAATTAAGGAGCAAAAGTTCATTTTTCCGTTAAATAGTATATGGATTTAATAGTTAAAAATTTCTGAGGAGTGTAGTCTGGATCCTTCCAACAAGCTATAGATATACGTTTAAAAGATAATTTACTTCATTTCCATTTTACATTAACACCCCCTCCCCACTCAACACGGTTAGTGTAGATTATAGGTAATTTATTTATAGATTCATTCCTCTTTCTGTTTGATTTTTAGCTTGAAAATTCTTTTCCTGCAGATTTGTTCCATTCTAAGCTTCCCTAAAATGCCATGCAGAATCGGGACTTTTACAAATATTAATCTTTACAGGTAATTCATTTCTGACAAAACATCATCTGTCAATATATAGTTAAAAAAAATTAATTTGAAGGTTCAACTCTAAAACTCAATTATTCCCATGCTTTTGCGAGAAAATAACATAGTTAAAGTATATCAAAGCAAGATTACAGTTCCCCAAGGCCAGGACTAGGGAAAAATCAGTAGAGGTATAAAATCAATAATTGGATTTAAACGTCAGTTGACTCAACCACCGATCAACAAAGAATAAAAACAGAAAGGCACACACACCCTCTACCTCCCCCCCCCCACCCCTCACCCCGACACACACACACCCACCTCCCACACACACACACACACACACACACAAATAAAATGGGTTAAAAGTTGCAGTGTTGATCATTTCTACTCCTTGAGATATTTTGATATTTTGCCTAGATCCCATTTAATCGAATTCTTTTTGATTCATATGTCATTTTTTGCAATATGTGTTACAGAAATTATGTACCCTCGGCCAGTTTGTTTATTTATATAATGTATTTATGTTATTTGAACCCCATGTACCAATATTGATTTGGGTGAATAAAATGAACTTGAACCTGGACTTCTCAAATATGTTGTATCAGTTTGATTTTCAATTTATGTTACATGTTTATTGTTTTTTAGGGGTTAAACATGCAGTTAATTAAATCTCTGACCAGCCTTTTGGGGGCTGGTTAATTTCTTTACTAATTCTTGTAAATAAAATAGTTATAACTACATGAAAAAATCTTTATTTTGCTTTTTCTTCATTTTTTTGAAAATGATGTTGAATCAGGCTGTTTCACCACAATGATACTGTAAGAGAGATACTCTGCATTCTCCAGTCGAACAATCTTATTGGGGGGGGGGGGTATTTGTAACAAAGTTTTTATATAATTTATCACGTATAATTCTTTCTTAAGTCTTTACTGAGATTGAAATTTTTTAGGTTTTTCACACACAATCAACGCGCGGTTTTTAAAGCGGCTGCCATATTTACTTATTTATTTCCCATATTTTCGTTGAATGCATCATCCACTTAAATTTGAATTCATTTTGATCTTTTTATGTAGAGTCTTATCATGACTGATTAATCTACCACTTTTCAACGCAAGCAAAAAGCACTTAGCATAAAGAGAAGCATTAGTAGGTCCCTACGTATGTAATTCAAAAGCTTGAATTAAATCATATGGTCTTGAAAATGCTTTTAAAGGCAATAAGTATGTCAAGTATGTCGTGAGAAACAGGTTGCGCGGAATTCACTTTAAAATCAAAACGACGACTAGTAATGCAAAAAAAGTGGCTAAAATTCTCGTGAATTGTTGTGGACTTTTTTTATGTTTTAGGGTAGGCGAGGCATACCCCCTCTTCCCGCGAATAGTGAAAATTAATAGAAATTATGTAAATATGATTAAATTGAAACTAGATTTTTAAAAAATAAAATTTACACATATAAACTTCTTATCTTAAGATTTTTGGAACATCAGTCTAATAAGCAGTCCAGTTCTCCTTATTGAACGATTGTCTTGTCTGGACAGCTTTTAAAGCTGGGGAAAAATGGGGGGGGGTTTCTGACATTTTATAGTTTAAAAAAAAAAACAGTTTTTTTTTTAATACAGCTAAAATGAATTTTAATACAGGATTGATCAGACAAAATATTGCTTACAAGAATGATAAAGCCTATTCACTGGCGGATTACGAGCTGGAAACAGGATCCAGCCCCCCTTTTTATTGGTGTGTCTGCATCTACATGTATCATATTCATGATATGGATCTTCATCAATAATATTCTGACTTGCAGTCATGAAGCACGGGTAAATCAGATCGACTGGAGGGGAAACACTGATTCTCAAATTATAGTCTCAATTCGCTTTAAATAATGTACCGTGTTTTAAGTAATATAAATTTTCTAATAAATTTTATTTTCTGCCAGTCATATGAACCATTGTTGGTTGTTGATTAAAATACAACAATTGTTTGTTGTAACTTGAATGACTGTCTTAAGCGAAAATCGCATTTTATAGCAGAAATCGATATTTACGTTACTGTCGCCGATCATAGTGTAGTTTTTATTTTAAACCAAAGAAATTTTAAATCACTTACATATCTTTTTCTTAGTAAAATTGTCCTACATTTGATTTATATTTTCTGAATATCACACCCTTCACACATATGTGTGTTATGCATTTTTGAAAATTTTAATCTATTTGTCAAATTTTGATGTCACCGCAAAATCATTACTTTTCTATTTGGAAATTCAAAAGGACTTGAAGGATTGCTGAACTAACTCAATAGGATTAAGTTGTAACTTTTTAACATCATGAACACCTCTTATATTGCATGGAATGGTAAGATAAGACACTGTTTATCTGTATTTATATAAAATAGCCCCCCTTTTCTTATGAGTCCAATGGTTAAAAAATCCATCGATATTTACGTGTTAGTATTTATTCACAAATTAAGTAAGAGAACTACACTGTTTCCTATGGGTCAAATTGCCTTACACTTAAGCACTAGAATATACCTTTAATTAACAGTGGAATAATTAAACAACAGCATTAAAAGTTACGATAAATCTCAGAAAGATATTTACGTTAACGATATTTACGTTACCAATATTTACGTTACCATGTTTTAAAGTAAATTAAAATTAAAATCTAAAGCTGTATGAACAGATTTGCGAGTAAATTTTAATGATTTAAAAACTTAAAACATGAAGAAATACACTGTTTCTTTAAATGGCATTATTTTCTGTAAGAAGAGTGCAGAAATGCAAATGGAAGTGCACATGCAAAGGTGAACCTTTTTTACACAATATATTGTGCATCCGCGCGTGTGATTTGAAAATTGAATTGATATACGAGTAATATTATTCACAAGTAGAATTGGGGTTTGTGATCGAATGTTTCCATTTTGAGCAACTGGTTAATATAGCATAGTTTTAAGTGTAATGCACGTTATCATTCAGAACGTAAATCTGAAACAAAACTTTCTTAAAGTTTGTATTTTGCTGTTTGTTTCAACTGATATGTATCATCAACTTAAAAAAAAATCGTAATATACACTTAAATTGTATACCAAGCTAAATATTTTGAAGAAGAAAATATCATTTTTCGTAGGAAATATAATTCCACAGAATAGGCGCTGCGCTGCATAAAGGGGGGGGGGGGCTTCCACATCGGGTTAAAGAAAAAAAGACGGCTGTGGGTGTTGGGTGTCAAGAAAATGGTCGAAATTGAATCCATTTCCATTTCTGTTGCTTTGCAATAAATACATGTATTAAATTGTGCACCTGATTTTTCCCATTTAAATTGTTGCTTAGACAAACATGTAGAACTTAGAACGTATGCGTCTATGCTTTAATGGTACTGAAAATTCAATTTACGTTATATTAATGTAGAATGTAAGTATATTGCTCTATAGAGCACATATTATTTGCAAATGTAATTATTAACAAACCTTTTTAAGGGTGGTGGGGGTAACTTTGTTTTGTTTTAGAGATTTGACGATAAAGTTTCACAAGCAGTTAAGCATTTGAAATAATCAACAGATTAAATGGTGAAAGGAGGGTGTCATAAATTAAATGATCCCTCTACAGATAAGTAATAACTTGAGTTTTCAATTCAACCCTTTGTCAAGAACACAGATAAGAAAATTCATAAAAATCAATAATTTGAAATAATATATTCATTTTTCCCCGAATATACTTTTATTTTTGTTTGATATCTATGTGCGATATTTACGTGATATTTGACAAACACTTCGTAATCAGGTAATGGCGAAATATTTTACCTGCTGATATTTTAAATAATGTGCGTTTCTCTGAATAGATTAATAAAGAATTAAATAATGAAGTATTTTAGGTAATATTGTCGTTATTTAGCTTATCGTCAGATTTGATAAAAACTTTTTCAAAGAAAAAGGAAATAATGTCATTTAAGTGAAAATTATGCCTGTTTTGTTTTTACTCATAATTGAATCAAAGATTTTACAACCTTTTACAAAGGTGCTTAAACGGCTTCACAAATGTTTATAGTTAACAAAATTCGATTTGTATTATCTTAATTTTGTATTTTTCAAAAAAATTCTTTCGTTTCCAAATATGGCTTTTCAATATCACGTAAATATCTTGGTGTAAAATTAGCCCTCCAACCGCATTCATTTCGAAGGAGATCAACAAAACACAGCATGAAGTATGTAAATCAAATTGTGATTTTTAATAACTATACACTTTCATGCTTCAAATGACATATAAAAGTGTTAGTTTCAGTTCACAAAATTTTTTGACTTTTCCCAAAGTCGATTTGGCATTATAAATTGAGAATGCGTGGAAAGCAAATTTTTTTATTTTTTTATTTTTAAGAATTTAAATAACAAGAGTC